CCCAGCACCATAGAGTTTTCTATGTGCTACTTAATGTAATTTTAAGTGAAGAAAAGAAATCTAATTTAAATTATGGCCATGAAGGATGTCATGCGATATCAATTTTTTTTTTTATTTTTTGAGATGGGAGGGGGTCTCACCATGCTGCCAGTTTGGTCTTGAACTTGGGTTGCCCCTGACTTGGTCTTCCAAGTAGCTCGGATGACAGGCGTGGCCACCCCTCCCGGATGACGGTGTCCATTTTGAATGCAGATACAGGAGCCAGGCTCACACCTCTGCTCACCTGCTGATCCTCACCTTCAAATTTTGCTTCCAAAACGTGAGCTTCGAGCCACCATTATCAGGAAGTTCAAGGCCCCGAGGGCTGAGCATTAAGCCAGGCTCAGGGCCCTTCTGAGCTCAGGGTGCAGGGTGCCTGCGTGGCCCCTGCCTGTGAGACTGGCCTTGCCTGTCCCTCCTCCCCACGGCCCCCTGTGGCCAGGTGCACCATGGGAGATATCCAGGGACAACCTCTGCCCGGCCCCGCCCGCCCTTCTCCAGAGCTTCCCTGGCTGGGGAGGCTGCCCGGCCGCCCACCTGGCCTGCCCTCGGGGGACACAGCCCAGACCAACGGGAGGCTCAGGATCACCCAGCTCTGCCAGGGACTTGGGTCCCTCTGCCTTTCTGACTGAGGCGGGCACAGAAGGACACCCCAGGGAAGGGGACAACCCAGAGGACTTGAGGTGAGACAGCAGGCCAGGCCCGGGACCTCCTGAGAAGATGAGCCTGGCCGTGGAGAGAGGCCTGGGCAGAGCTCTGCATCCTGGCCCTGGGCCAAGGGCCGAGACCCAGAGGCCTGCTCCCCACGGCCAGGGCTGAGCCACTCCCTCCGCAAGCCCTTGTTCACTGGTGCCGGGAGGTAAGTGGGGATGTCCTGGGGGCTCACACTGACAGACCCTGGTGGCCTGGGAGAGGGGTGTTGGGGAGACCAGGAGCCCTTCACAGTGAGGTACACAGTAGGTGCTCCATAAGTGCCCGCTGGCTGGTAGAGGTGAGGGGTGAGGAATGGTTGGACCAGGCTGCAAAACAGGAGGGCTGAGTCTTAGGCAAGGGCGAACCCCGGGTCCTGTGCCAGAAGGGATGGGCCTGGACGCCTGGTCCTGGTGAAGACCTGCCCTGGCTTTACAGCAAAATCTTGGTTCATTCACTGGGTTTTAAATGAGCACCTATTATGCACCATGCACAGGCTGCATCCATGCAGCAGCACTGGCTATTAAAACGGTGAGGTGATGCCATGCAGGCCCGTGGCCACTGAGTGCCACCCCCCACCCTAGCTGCCTCGACCCCTTTCCTAGGACCCCCCATCCTTTCCCCCATGCTCCAGCCCCCCAAAGGGCCTCCCAGGCCCTGCTCCCAGTTCCAACTGGTTGAGGCCCCAGCCACAGAGACAGCTGTGGACCAAAGACAAGGATTAGTCCCCTCAGGACTCACCTCCTGGGGAGACAGAGGGCAAGGGAGCTCACCAACCCCGTGTCAGCCTAACTCAGGGGCTGACAAGGATGGGCCCAGGAGCCAGAACGGTGCGCAAAGTCACAGGACAGCAGAGCCTCTGCCTTCATCTGCTCGAGCCGCGTGACGAGGCACAGCCTGCTGGCAGCTCAGCTCAGACACCGATTCCTCACTGTTCAGGGGACTGGAGTCCAAGGTCAGCTGCAGCAGGCTGGCTCCTCCTGAGGCCGCTTGCAGACTGCCCTGTCCCCAAGTCCCCACAGGACCGTCCCTCCACATCTGTGCACGGATCCCTTCTACTTCTACAGCTCAGATGGTATAGGGCCACCCGTGACCTCATCCACCTTACAACCACCCCTTTCTGTCACCCATGGTCAACCACGTCTGAAAACATTAAATGGAAAATTCCAGAAATAAGTGATTCGTGTTTTAAATGCACGCCATTCTGAGTAGCGCCGTGAAATCTCTCACCCTCCTGCTCTGCCCAGGCTGGGAAGCATCCCTTTGTGCAGCGTGTCCGTGCTGTATGTGCTACCCTCCCATGAGGCACTCAGCAGCCATCCTGGTTATCAGGCTCATCACTGCGGTGGGTGTCAGGTGACCCTCCCTGATCTTAATCCATGGCCAAAGCACAGGAGTCACGATGCTGGCAATTCAGATATGCCAAAGAGAAGCCATGAAGTGCTTCCTTTAAAAGTGAAAAAGAAGCTAGTCATGGGGCCCATGACTATCGTCCTAGCCACTCGAGAAGCTGAGGCAGGAGGATCCCAAGTTCAAGGCATTAAAAGGGCTGGGAGCTCTGATTTCAAAACGGGGTCCTGGGGATGAAGCTCAGTGGTAGGACACCCCTGGATTAAGTCCCCAGCACAAAAATAAAATGAAAGGGAAAGCATAAGGAAACGAATCGTCTGGAGAGCTTGCTAAGATCTACAGGACATAAGATATTTTGAGAGAGCAAAACCACATTCATATAACTTTTGTTACAGTGTATTGTTATGATTGTTCTATTTTATTTTTAATTATCATTGTTAGTATCTTACTGTGCCTAAAATTAAACTCAGTCTCAGGCATATGTGTATAGGAAGGGGAAAAAAGCAGTATATAGCCAGGAGGGGTGGTGCATGCCTGTAATCCCAGCAAATTAGGAGGCTGAGGCAGGAGGATGACAAGTTGGAGGCCAGCCTCAGCAAATTAGTGAGGCCCTGAGCAAGCTAGTGAGACCCTGTCTCAAAATTTAAAAATTAAAAGGGCTGGGGATGCAGCTTGGTGGTAAACCACCACACCTGGGTTCAATCCCCACTACCCAAAACAAAACAGTCTGTACGGTTTTTCGATACTATCTATGGTTCTAGTCCTCCACTGGGGGTCTTGGGAGGCATCCTCCACAGATGAGGGGGAAGGCTTAGTAATTTCCTCTGCACAAAACCTGTCTCCAAATCCAGCTACATGCTGAGGTTCTGGGGGGTTATTCAGCATATGAGTCTTAGGGAACACGGCAGGGCAGAGTGGACAAAGAGGAGAGCCAAGGTGGCCGACTGCATTGTCCAAGGAGAGGTGCAGCTGCACCTGCCATCCCGTGTTCTTCCAAGACATTCCCCATCAAGAAATGAGACCAGGTCCCCCCTCCCCTGGAAACTGGACAGACCTCAGTGACTGCCTCCACTCAGAGCCTGAGAAATTTCCAAGGTTGGGTCATAAAAATGCCGGGAACTTCTGCTCATTCTCCTGGGAAGTTTGCTCTTGGATCCTGGTGCCAGGCTTTAGGAAGCCCAGGCATCCAGTGGAGAAGCCCGGTGGAGAGGGTCCAGGGCTGGGGACCGCCGCACGGGCAAGCTGACTGCAGTGGACTCTCTGGCTCCCACCAGAGCCTCCCTTGGAGCCCTGCCCCAACCGCATGTTGAAGGTTAGAACAGGGCAGGGGTTGGGTGGGCAGAGCTTTGTTAGAGCAGCCCCCGGGGCTCCTTGGACCTGGACCCCCTGCTCTCCAACATGACGGGTGACGAACTCCTACTCGTCCTTCAACTTGAGTTCACCTCCTCCTTGAAGGCTTCCTTGCCTCAAGTCCCAGAAAGAGTGTGAGACCATCACCCTGCAGGACCTAAGCCCTTGGGCATCCTCTTATTTGCCACCCAAATAGAGTGACAGAGTAACAGGAGGTCCTCCCAGGAAGCATGGACCCCTCCCAGGAAGCGTGAGACCCTGGGAGCCTTGCTTCTCTGTGGATGCAGAGCAGGCGTCTTCTTGACCAGCCTGGACCTTAAATATGGCAGGTGCTGGAGCAGAATCTGCTGAACGGAGGCAGAGTTTGACCTTGTGGGTTCAGTCCCAGGGAACTGAACTTGCACTTCAGGAGACAAGGGGGTCCTCACGTTCTGGTCCAGCTGCAGGCACGTGCCGGCCAGCTTTGCCTCCAGGTAGGAATCCAGGGGCTCCTCTGGAGGAGGGGCGGCCTGAGGACTCCCTTGGACACACAGATAGGTGACTCTGCCCAAGAGAAGGACAGGGGACCTTCCAGAGGAAGTGAGCCTGTGAGGCCCAGGACCTAAAGGGATCCAGGGGACCCCAATCCTGGCGGACGCATGCTGAGAAGCTGCAGCTGGCCTGGCAGCCCCAGCCTCGCCACCCTGAGAGCCAGAGAGTCACCTCTCCCAGTGCCCCACAGGAGCCCCAGGGAGACGGGAATGATGCACAGCATGCATTGGGCTGTGCCTGTCTCCGTGGACAGCCCCCAAACTTCTTGTGACCTTGAACCACACAGCTCCCATCTCTGAGCCTCAGTTTCCCCATCTGTCCAACAAGAGGGTCCACAGATGCCCTCCCAGTTCATGTGATCTCCCGGTGGCAGGTTTGCCTCCCCCCCAGGCCTCTTCCATGCCCCTTCCAGATGGGCAGCCCCTCCAGGGTCACCCAGGAAGTGCCCGGAGCAGCGCAGCGGGGACGGGCAGCGGGCAGCCTCGCCCCCACTCTGCAGCTCCGGGCCGGTCTGTTTGTTTTCCTAAGCAATTCAATATTTAAGACCCGGCTGGCCGCGAGCTCGCGGGCTCCCCCTTCCTTTGTCTTACAGCTCCCGCCGCCGCCCGCCTTACACCCCCTCCGACGAGCCGCGCGCGCTGCTGATGGAAAATTCATTAGTGGTCTGGTCTCCTTCCCGCCCCTTCTCCATGTTCCCAGGCAGCTCCGCGCTGGCGTGTCAGCCTTTCCATCCTGATTATCTGGAGACGCCAATTTCAAAGAGACATCTTAATAGTGATGTCAACGAATTAATTAGATGTGTTAATGAGCTAAAAGCAACCCAAATTAAATTAATGCAGTAATAAGCGCAGACAGCAAAATTAGCTCCAATTTCTCTAAATGATTCTGAACTGTACACAACACCTCCTCTCGCTAGAACATTACCATCCCCCAAAGCTAATCAAGAACCCGGCGCAATTAACTGCTTAATTACAAACAGGCGCGCGCGCGCGGGCGCACACCCACGCACGCGCGCACACACACACGCGCAGGCTTGCACGCACTCACACACATGGCGAGGAATTCAGCAGGCAGGAGGAGTTAGCCTGGGGGTGCAGGGGCTGCAGACCCCCTGAAAATAGCCCAGGTCACTGCCCCTCCTCTCCGATTTTTTTTTTTTCAAAACCTCATGATAGAAAGCGATCGAGGGCCCTTGGCTTGGGAGGGTCCATCGCTGTGGGTGATGGCCAGGGCGCTGGACCAGGCCCGCAGGCTGCAGGGAGGCTGCGGGATCCCCGGGACCACTGGGCATCTGGGTGGGGAGGCCCCCGCGGAGGAGGAGCAGGAGGGGGTGTGGGCGGGAGGGGGCAGGGAGCAGCCAGTTGTTTATTGCTTGCATCAGAATCCGAGTTGGAACTAAAAAGCTAATTGTCCAGCCCGGCTGATTTCCCACCGGGCAGGGAGAACTGCTAATAGCTTCGCAAGCGGCTCAGGTATCTGATTAGCTGTAATTGCAGCTCGAGATGAGCAGGGGGTGAGGACAGCGGAGGAGGAGGGTGGGGGAGGACGAAGGCTGGGGGCCTGGCATGGAGTCAGAGGGAGACCAGGTGAGCTGAGGCTGAGGGAGGCGCCCAGCACCAGGCAGGGGCAGGAAGGGGGCAAATCAGAGGCTATCCAGCTGGCCAGCCATGGACTGTCCTCCCTGAGGACCCCCACCCGAGTGGCCTCTACAGCCAGGCAGTACCACTTCCAGGGAGTCTGCCCCTCCTGTCTGTAAGTGGGGCAGTCCCCATCACTAACTCTGACCCAGAGCCCAGGGGGCAGGAGCAGGCCAGAGCTGGTCAGTCAGCACCAACACAGGGGCTGGAGTGGCTGCTCCCGTGGACAGGAGTCTGGACAGGTGGAGAGGCCCCGGATGCCCTGGGACAGGGAGCCTGCCTGCACCCCACGATCAGGCCAGTCCCCCAAGTGAAGGGTGATTTTGTTCATTTCAGATTGGGCTATTGACTCTGGAGAGAAGGAGGTGACCATCTCTGTCCCTCCCAGCCCAGCCACCCAGGAGCCTCAGCTCTGTGGCGGGTGCCTCTCCCAGAGGGGACAAGGAGGCCAGGCCACCCTCTTGTCCTCCTCCAACAACCCCCACCCCTCCCCTCTCCTCCCTTCCTCAGTCTCAGGGTGCATTTCTTCCCCAAGGTGCAGATGTCTTCCTGCATTTGGCTTTTTAACTTGTGATTCAGTTGAAATATGTCTGTTCCCATCCTGGTTGCTAACAGGAAGCAACGTGTCGCCACCTCGCTAATCCACTGGCCATGAGTTTGGTACCTCAAGCTGGGCACCACTCCCAGGGACACGGAGATGATGGGTCACTGTCCCTGCCTTGCAGAGAGAGAGCTACCGTGCACCGTGACAGCCTGTGACACCTGACCAATGATGTGGGCGCTGCAGGGGACACCACCAAGCAACACCAGAGGATCAGAGGAGAGTCCCAGAGGTGGCTCTGGCTGGGGAGGTTGCAGATGGGCGCTCAGGTGGGAGCTGGGGTGCAGGGACGTTCTGAGGCGGGACAGCTGAGGTGCAGGAGCCCTGGGGCTGATGTACCCTGAGCCATGCCACCGCACCCCAGGACTGGCACCCCACGTTCCCTTAGCACTGGGGGCTGAGGAATCCTAAGGGAGGTGCCAGGGCGCCAATCAGACCCCTGCCTGGGGCTTCGGGGTCTACCCTAACCCCACGTGCCAGAATCAGCTGTAAATTCTGTGGGACCTCCAGGGTTAAATCTGAGAAATGGGGACATCATAAACTGAGCTTCTAGAGAAGGAAAAGGCCCAAGGTGTTCACGCCCAGGAGAGCCTTGCAGCCACCCAAGGCCACCAGGCGTTGACCTTCCGGGGACACACTCTGCTTTGTAGAGATGGGGAGAGGGAGGCCAGGGCCGAGGGCGGGGCCTGGGGCTGGGGCTCAGGATCCCACCGGTCAGCACAGGCCTCTCCGCTCACTTCCCGAATGCCAGGGCGGCCACCCTGGATGTTGTCACAGGCTTTTATTTCCCCACAGGAAGAAAGGATTGTTTTGCTCTGGCAGATGCCCCAGGGAGCGCTGTGGTCCCTGAGCGAGGAGCCCGGGGTCCCAGGGGCCCACAACAGGTGGGAGGGGCTGGGAGGAGACTGGAAGAATGGTCTCCTTCTCCAGCCACCTTGCACCTGGCAGCCATCACCAGGCCCTCAGCCTCTGGCCCCCAACTCAGGAGGGGGCCGGGCGGGGACAGCCCAGCCTGTGGCTGTGGCAGGCCATCGCACACAGAATGCACGTGGACAGGTGCACAGGCACGAGGACCCAGCGGGGAGGGGTGGGCAGGCTGGGCCCTGGGGAGCCGGCCACCACCGTGTCAGGCACACACCTGGAGGCTGCCCAGACGCCCACAGCCCACACCAATTAGGAACTTACTTTACATTATTTTAATTTGTCTCTGGAGCCTTGGAAGGAAAGTCATGCAATTATTATTATTATTATTATTTTGGAAACTCCAGCAGCCATTATATAAATTACGTCTAATTTAATACATTGGAGGCAGTTTTTTTTCTAAACAATCATGTTTTCCCTTCCCCGACGACGGGGCCACTGTCCCCTAATAATTCTGCTCAGTGTTGCAATGGGGAAATGTCCTGACCCTGAGAGGAAGAGAGAGGCCTCTGGGTTACACTGATCTCTCCACCCAAAGAGGGGACAAGAGACTTTGAAAGCAGTTGGTTTGGGGTGCCATGGGTGTACTGTGTGCCCTCTGAGAAGTTGCCTAACCTCTCTGAGTCTCTGTTTTGCGTCACAGGCTGATGCCCTCCAGGTAGTGCCCTGGAGCGTCTTCATCCACCAGGTGGATTCGCTCAGCCCAGAGCAGGGACAGAGGACATGGTGATTGAAGGGGGCCTGAGATGCATTGTAACCAGGTATGGTAAGACACACAGACATAGCAGTGACTGTCACGAAGGGACACGTTTTTATCATTGTCACTGACCTGGGAAAGGGAAGTAGGCATCCCACCCCAAATGTCAGAGCAGCGGACGAAACAGGAATCCGACGGACACCAGCTGCCGGCTCAGGCTCTGGTCCTGCCGGTAGGCACTGGGCATTTTTGTGACCTTGCTTGATGGCCACAGTTGCCCACTGGGGCTGGGCTGGGTGTGCCCACCCTGCAGTGTTGACAAGGAAACTGAGGCCCAGAAAGGAAACCCCCTTCCCGAGGCCACACAGGGACAGGGCCAGGGTGAAGACCAGCCTGGAGTGACACGCAGGGCCCAGGTCGAGGTCCCCTCGGTACAAGGTTAGGAACTGTGGGCTCCTGAAGACCAGAAGAGGGGGCGACCAGTGGATCGGACATGGGGTGGCTCCTGGGCTATGTCAGAGTCTAATGAGGTTGTACCTGGGGAGCATCAGCACTTAATAGGTGCCCAGTAAGCAGCACTCTTGGGTGAGCCAGAGGGGCCCCTGCCCCCGCCTCTAGGCCCCAGTGTCCCCATTTGTACAGCAAGGAGAGCTCTGGCCACTGCACTTGGGGAAACTCACCCGACTGATGCTCGAATGCTCCAGAGACAGGGTGTGCCAAAGCAGCACAGTAAACACCCAGAGACATCCTGTGTCCACCAGGGGGGACACATGCACACAGGGGGCTGCTGGGGCCACCGCACAGCTGGCAAAGCCACACGTCACATGGAAGGAGGGACAGGAGCAGCCGTGGCCTGACATCACCACGGGGAAGGCTGAGCGGCAGCCACAGGAAGCTCTGGGTTCACGGCTCAGCCTTTCCTTCAGGGCTGGGGATTGAACCCAGGCCCTCACCCCTACTGGGCAGGCACTGGCTGGAGCCAACCCCGAGTCCTTTTTGATTTTGACAACAGGTCTGGATAAGTCTCCCAGGCTGGCCTGGAACCTGCTATCCTCCTGACTCAGCCTCCTGAGTTGCTGGGTCGACCTGTGTGTGCTCATCCCTTTTGTACCATGTGAGGAAGAGACATTTTTTAAACTGTGTATTTGTATTTATTCATCTATGTAACTATTTACCTATTCATTCACTCATCTATCTAGCTGTTTGTTTGTTTGTTTGTTTATTGTGGTGCTGGGGATGGAACCCAGGGCCTTGCACTTAGTCTTAAGCATATGCTCTGCCACTAAGCTACACCCCTAGCCCTCGCTTTAGAAAAAGGTTTTAAGCACTTGTGGGCATACATACCCAAGGAAAAACTAAACCGTGCACACAAAAACCTACATACGAATATTGATAGTTGCATTACTCTTTTTGTTTTTTGAACCCACAGACACTCAACCACTGAGCTACATCCCCAGGACTTTTTTTTTTTTTTTTAATTTTGAGACAGGGTCTTGCTAAGTTGCTGAGGTTGGCCTTGAACTTACGATCCTCCCGACTCAGCCTCCCCAGCCGCTGGGATTCCAGGTGTGCACCACTGCGCCCAGTGACTGCAGTGTTATTCACAACAGTCAAAGAAAGATTGAAAGCCACAGAAATGTCCATCAGTGGATGAACATATCGACCAAATGTGGTCCATGGGTTCAACAGAACGCCTCACAACCCCATGAAGGAATGGAGGGCCTATGGACCTTGAGGACCCCACTTCTGTGGAGTGTCTGGAAAAGGCAAATAAATCATAGCAACAGAGAGGGCTGAACCTTGGGAGGGGAAACCAGGAGGTGAGTGGTGATCGTTGTGATTTCCTTGTTGGGAGGTGATGAGAACCTTCTGGAAACAGCTACTATGGGTGGTAAGTCACACAATCTGGGAAGATACTGAACCGTGCCCGGGAAGGGGCGAGTTTGCTGGAAAACCTCGCGTTACTTTTCCGGGGTTGCCTTTAACCAAGTGCCACAAACGGGGTAGGGTTGGTGGCGGGACTGGGGCTGGGGGGGTTGGCTTTCAGCAACAAAAATGTATCATTTTACAGTTGCAGAGGCCAGAGGTCTGCCGTGGAGGAGCTGGCGGGGGACGAGAGGTGTTGGGTCACCCACCTGAATGAGTTCCACATGATGATATCTGCAAAGATCTTGGTCCAAATAAGGTCACACTGGCCCATGGGATTAGAACCATCTTTTGAGGGACACCCCTCAATCCATCACATTTGAGCAATATATATATATATATATATATATATATATATATATATATATATATATAAAGAGATGGAGGAAACAGACCCCACAGTCAGGAGCACAGTGACCTTGGAGAAGACCCAATTCTTTGTCACCCCCTCTGCTCCTATAACCAGCACTGGAATAATGTTTGAGGGAGCAAAACCCCCGGTGACCTCCCAGGGCTGAGCCTTTATCCCTCCGGCCCTGAATGACCCAGGCCCCTATCTAGGCCAGCCCAGTTCCAACCCTCAGCTCTGACCTCGAATGTCTTTTGGCCACCCAACCCCCCCCCCCATCCTGCTTGGAATCGGTGGCACTCAGGCCTGTCACGTGCCCCGCATCCCCAACTTGTAAAGTAACAACCTGTCACACACACAACCTCTTTGCACCCAAAATGTTCTCTGATCTGTGTAAACTGCAATTGAAGCTGCGCCGCTTGATATTAATATCTTTTGTTTGTGTGTCAGGGTTCTGCGGAATCTAATTAAGGAGTGTTCTCGGCGTATCCAGGGTGTTCCAACAATTCCGCCGAGCAGACCGCGCGCGCTGTTGACCTGCACAGATAAACTGTGCTTATGGATTCGGGGGTGGCAACGGGTGGGGGTGCCCCAACTGCTCTTTTCTGCTGGGGTACCAGGCATTGCCCGCCTGCGTGTGGCCCATACCTGGCAGTATGGGCATCTTGGCTGGGGTGAGGGGGTGGTAGCAGCGATTCTTTTTGGGCACCTCTGTATATACACAAGTACGCATGCGCCAGGCCTCCCTGGGCAGCGGCTCCTGTCCCCGCTGCCCTTGCCCTAGTGTCTGTCTTCCCTCTCCACACCCTGAGAAGCCAGCAGAGATGCCCAACTGCACAGATTGGGGATTGAGGCCTCTGGTGCCTGCGGAGGACCCGTGCTGTGTGGGGTGGGGGTCTCTGAGCAGTCATTGGGCAATAGACAAAAGCCACACCTGGGAGGTGCTGGGCTCACCCCAGATAATGACAGGGACAGAGCCTGCAGTCTGTCCTCACGGGTAGGCCAGGATAGCTGTCATCCCCTGGGAAGACAGAAAATTGAGGACAGGAGTAGGTAGGCACTTGCCCAGCACAGGTGGAGGCTGGCGGGCAGAGCTGGGCCCTTCCTGACCCTGGAGCCTCCAGAGGGGATCACTCGGGCCAGGAGGGACCAAGAAGCCAAGGATGAGTGTCCTTCATTCTGAAGGTCCAGATGTCCAGGCAGCCACAGGAACCCCTAGACCTAGGTCCTGGCCTCACCCAAGGGGAACCTTGACAAGTGTCCCTCTCCAACTTCAGTGACCTCCCTGGGAAATAACAGGACGCTGTGCCCTCAGCTCCAAGGTCAGTGGCACCAGACCATGCCATCATCAGTGCGCTCCCACCAGGCCTTGCAGGGTGATTCTGCCCCTAATGTCCCTGGGCTGAGCACCAGGGGTGAGGTGCTGAACGCCCACTGGGGAAAGCTCTGGGCCGGGGTGCAGGGTCGGGGTGGGGGGGTGCCGGGAGTCTTGGTAGCAGGAAATGGTGAGAAAGACCCGGACACAGGCTGAAGCCGGAATTCCAGCCGGCCGAGGTTTGGGCGAGGAGTGACCCCCGGGCCGGAAGGGTCTGCGCGCATGTGCACGTGTGCCTTGGATGCGCCAGCATTTGTGCAGCCGGGCGCACGTGGAGTCGTGTCCACTCGGAATCCGTGCGCACCGGTGTCCGCATCTGCCCCCAGCACCCCGGGCTCGCGCCCTCCCAGCGCGCTCAGAAACGCCGGAGCGCCACCTTCCGGCCGTGCGCTGCGAGTTCACCGCGGGCAGTTGGAGAGAGCAGGCCTGAGGCCCCACCCGCCGTGGCCCCGCCCCGTTCCGGGGCCCGCCCTCCATTAGGGCGTGGCCAATGATGCAGGTACCCGGAGCCAGAGCCCACAGGCCCAATTGACCACATTCCAGGAGGGCCCCAAGAGCTTTCCCTGGGTCACTTAAGCCTACCTTTGTGTGGCTCCATTTTACAGAGGAGAAAACTGAGGGGAGAAAAATGCAAGTAACCTGCTCAAGGTCACGAGAGAAGGAAGTGGCACAGCACCCCGGGCACACTCAACACCTTTCAGTGGCCAGTACACTCATATTTAGTCAACGATTAATTAATAGTTATTTATGAGTCTAAACCCATTCAACCCTCGCAGCCTTGAGTAGGTGTCCGGGCAGAACTCCACCCCCAGGGTTCTGAGGGGTCACCAGCTTCTTCCAAGGACAGGAATCTGGAGTAGGAGAGGACTTCAAGGCCAAGTGAGTAGGGAGGCGGGAGGATGGTGGGGGAGGGGGTGGGGGGAGGGCAAGTGAGTAGGGTCTGCCCTCCCAGGGCTCTGGGCGGCCCCTGCCACCCCACTGAGCAGCCTTCAGCAAGTTCTTGACCCCTCTGGGCCTTGGTTTCCCTGTGTGTGCTGGGGGGAAGCTAGAACAGGCATTTTCTTCAGTTCTTCCCCCTCCCCAGACAGTACAGGGTGCCAGGAATTCCTGAGCACTGCTCTGGCACAGAGTGGGGGTTTGGGTGTCCCAACCCTGTGTCGGGCCCTCCCATGCCTGTGGCCCTCCCCAATGGAAAGCCGAGTGCTTCCGCTGGCCACTTCCAGCACCTCCAGCCATGACCCACTCCACCTCCTCCAGGGTCTCCCTCCGAGTGGGAGGCATCTTGGGCGGAGGGTAAGGGGCTGCCAGGGACAGATGGCACTGGCCCGGGTGCCAACCCAGCAAGAGCCGGGCAGAACTTGCTGCTGTCCAGGGCCTCTGCCAAGCACAGTGGCAGGCCCTGAACTCGGGCTGCACCTGGTAGGCAGGAGGTTGTGCTGGGGGGACCTGGTGGAAGAAGCAGCCTGGCACAGCAATGTCTTTGACAAGCGTGACCTTGGACAAGTCCCTCCCCGTCTCTGTCTGGCCTCTTCCTCTCCAGGCTCCCAGGTCTCTTGCTGTCATGATTTCCATTCATCTTCTACCACGTGACCCCAGAACCCAGTGATACACAGCTCCATTCTCACCACCACCGATGGGCTGTGTGGCCTTCAGCAAATTCCTTTACCTCTCTGAGCCTCCTTAGCCTCATCTGGAAAATGGGCTGACACCGTGTGCTGTCTCTGGCCCGGGTGTGGAGCTAGAACAGAGCTCAGGGCAGAAGAGAGGGAATCTGCAGTCTGGGACCCGCCCCCCAGCAGGACCTTGGAGACTAGTGGTGTGCTGGTACCAGGTAGCAGGTCATTTTGTATTTTATTTATTTTTTAAAAGTCTTTTCTTTTTAGTTGTAGATGGACACAATACCTTTATTTTGTTTTTATTTTTATGTGGTGCCGGGGATGGAACCCAGTGCCTCACGCATGCTAGGCAAGTGCTCTGTCACTGAGCCACAACCCTGGCCCCTGTATTTTATTTAGAGACAGGGTGTCACTGAGTTGCTTAGCACCTCGCCATTGCTGAGGCTGACTTTGAACTCGCAATCCTCCTGCCTCAGCCTCCTGAGCTGCTGGGATTACAGGTGTCTGCCACCACACCTAACTTCGGTAGAAACAGACTTCCAACTGATGAGTCGGCATGGACCGGGACGGAAGTGGTCAATTTCATCCCATCCTCAGGCCCAGGGCCCCAGTCATGTAGCTGTAGGAAGAAAGTGCAGTGTCTTCACTGACCTGCAGACTGTCCCATGCCCCCAGGGACAGACACAGCCTGAGGCTGAGGGAGAGCTGGGTGGCTGGAATGTCCACCTCCAAAGACATTTCAGGGCAGACATGCCAGGGTGGGCAGCCCTACCCACTACCCCTCTCTCTCCCTGCACTGACGCACACACGTGCCCCTCTGAGGTCACAGCAGACACAGGAGTCAAGAGCCTGAATCAAGAGGGGTGTCAACTGTGACCAGGGCGAGGAGGCCTGAGACTAGGGAGCTCTGATCCGACAGCAGTGTCCCTTTGGTTTTGCCTGATCGTCCTCCCCACACACGCACAGATGTTCCAACCTCCCACCTGCCCATCTGCCCTGACTTGGGCAGGTGTGTGCCAGGCTGAGCTAACCCGTTGATTGTGCATGCCCAGATGCCCGGCGGGCCATTTAACTCTCGAAGAATCCCCTGCTGGAAGGGTGGATGGAGAGACAGATGAGTGAGTGGAGGAGTGGGCGGATGGGCAGGTGGAGGGATGAATGACAGCTGTACGGAGGGACAGACAGACAAGTGATGAAGTGCACCCTCTGATGTTCGGTATGGAGATGGATCATGCTAAGGCCTGCTGTGTGCCCCGTTTTACAGACGACGAGACTGAGGCAGGGGTGAGCAGTGACAGATGTGGGATCACACATCAAGTTCTCATTCCTGAAACCAGGACCCCGTCTTCAGGAGGCACAGGGTTGTCAACACACCTCAAGGACCTGAGATGGGGCTCTGGGCTCAGACCGCTCATACGCAGGTGCTACCCCAGTTTTGGTGTTGAGGCATCTGCCCGGCCCCTCCTGCTGTCCCATCCAGGTCATCCTGCGGCTGCTGCTGCTGATCCTGCCCCAGGCCCACCTCTCAGTCCCCACCTGCTCCACTTATGGTCCAGACCTCCCTCACGTCTTGGGCTGGACACGGCGCCGAGGTAGGGCGGCGGGTTGATGCCCTCGAGCTCTCCCAGCCCGAGGTAATTAAAGTGCATGGTTATGGAGAAGTTTGTAATTAAACACTTGAGCATCGTCAGACATCCCAGCATGACGCCTGATGAATTAATTACGAGGATGCCAGACCCTCAGGTCTGCGTCCTCACTGAGCGTGCAGGGGTGGCCCCGAGCCTCCGTGTGGGGAGGACGGAGTAGACCCAGCCACCGCCGCCTCCTGCCCACAGCCCTCCCCTGGCCCTCCTCCGGGCCCCCACCCCAAGCACCCAGCCTCCTCCCCACATCCCCACTCCCCAGGAGCTGCAGACTCCAACTCCACATGGTCCAGGTCAACCATCTCAGCCACACCCAGCACCGTCCCCCACCCACCTGGTGGCACCCCTTCCCTTCACTGGCCTCTCCCGTGCCCACGTCCTGCCCCTCCCAGATGTGACCACCCTCCCCAGGCAGCCACATTGATCCCAAAGCCCAGCACAGAGGGCGCTTCACCCCGGCCTCGGCTCCCTGACCCAGAGCCTCAGCATAACCAGAAAAAAACTCAGACGAACCCCAATCTGCAAAAATTCCCCGACTGCTACCCCTCAGAGCGGCCAAGACAGAGCGGCAAGTCGATGACAGTCAGGTGAGATCCTGGAACAGAAAAAACACACCAGGGGACCTGGGAAACTGAATACAGTGTGCAGATGCCAGACCCTCAGTCCAAATCCCAGAAGACAGGAACACGGGGTGGGGGGGCACACTGCGGGGGACGAGGACTCTGTTTGCAACTTTTCTGTGAAGCTAAAAGTTCTATAATCAGAGGTCACTTTGGACATGGAGGGTTCCCTAGCCGGTCCCATTAGACCCCAGCAGAAGGCTAGCACGTGCTTCAGCTTGGTGGTGGGTACGACGCCCGACGCCTGTCTCATGCTGGTTTCTGTGCTTGCAGTGTCCCCGAGGGAGGCACTTCAGAAAACGCTTAGCCAGGTGTGGTGGCGCACGCTGCGGTCCCAGTAGCACGGCAAGTTCAAGGCCAGCCTGGCGAGACCCTGTCTCAAAATAAGATATGAAACAAAAGGGGGACTGGGGAGCAGGGAGGGAGGCAGGAGGGAGGAGGGTGGGAGGAGGGAAGGAGAGGGAGGGAGGAGGGAGGGGGAGGAGGGAGGGAGGAGGGAGGGAAGAGTGGTCTGGCACCCCCCAGAGGCACGGCCCTGAGTGCCACGTTCCAAGCTGACCTTGCCCACTGCCTGTGCCCTCTGACATCACCCAGCCTGGCCAATCCCTAGCACCTGGCGCTCTGCCACTTCTGACATCATCCTGAGCTGGGGCCCTCTCTGTCTGCCACTCCTGAAGGTCCCCCGCAGGGAGGGAGTCACCATTGCTTGTCCCACCAGATATCTGCCCTGGGGTTCAGGAGGCCGCCTCCACCCCCACAAAGGCCTGGGCCCACCTGTGAGCAGGGCTTTGCTCGTCCATTTCACAGATGAGGAAACCGAGGCTTCTCAGAGAGCCAACTGGAGCTGGGAAGCGTCTGGACCCGAGCCCTGAGCTTAGCTGTGTCCTGGGCTGCCCTCCCATCCCACCGTGCACCCAACCCGGATGGGACGCACCCTCAAGCCCCCTTGTGTTCCCGTCTGGACACCCCCCTTGCCCCCTGTGGCCCTGGTGGCCCTGCTGACTCTTGTCCCCGGGTCTTGGCATCACATGCTCTATCCTCAAAGCATCCCTGACCCGTGCATGGCGCTGTCCCTGATGGGCCACCTTGGCTTGGAGCCCTGGGTGGTACCTCACGTCCTGCCTACTTGAGTGTCTGTCATCAGCCGTCCCCAGTGCTGGGACAGAAGCTGGCCTTGCTCTTGAGTGAACTGAGGCCTGTTGTCCACTGCTGCAGCTGCCCGGAGCGCCCCATTCCTGGAGCACCCCATTCCTGGAGCACCCCATTCTTGGGAGAAACCAAGCCCAAGATGCCCCATGGTGGCCGAGGGCTGGGCAGGTCTCCTTCTCTGGCCAGGCCACTGCCTCAGCTTTTGTGGCCCGATCCCAGCTGTAGTGCCAGAGCTGGCCAGACCCCAGGGGACACACGGATGTCACCTGCCCACAGCCTGGCTCCTGGCTCCCTGTGGCCTTGGAGGGTCCCCACATCTTCCCAGAGCCTTGACTTCTAGCACAGGCCTGGAAAGAGCTCGCTGGGCTGAAGGACAGATCCAGAGACGTCATCACCCCCTGCTTTGCAGACCAGGGTGACCGCCACCCAGGCCCTCCCGGGGTGACCCAGGCAGGGAAACCGAGGCCCAGGGAGCAGGAAGAGCCTCACAGGGACCCCGGGAGGTTAAAAGCCCACACGTGTGAACACACGGAGGCAGGCACACGTGTCCTGAAGTGCACACACACACACCAGGGCGGGGGGAGCCAGGCCTCCTTGGCTTATCACGCACATGTGTGAGGTGTGTCCCACAGTGTCCTGAGCCAGGAGTCACAGCGAGACGTACCCTCATGCCTGAAGGTGACATGCTCTGTGTCACCTCTGTGTGGCACAGTGAGCCATCTCCTGCTGCATCCATGCTATAAAATGCCTGGTGGCCAGGGTGTGGCGCTGGACATGAGGGTGTGGCCAGTCTTCACTGCAGAACCTGAAGCGTGCCGAGGTTGTGCCGGGTGCACCATGCACTGTGCCCAATGCATTGGAGGTGACGGATCCATCACGTGAAGGATGTGTTAGTTGATGAATTCAGCAAGGCTTTACTGAGCACCTACTATGTGCTGGAACCTGGGAATTCAGCAGTGGACAGAACAGGTAGAGTCCCTGACCATGTGGGGCTCATGCTCTGGGAGGGAGTTGACAGTGAGCAGGCATCTGATCACAGCGCTGATCACATCATGGACAGAGCAGAGGGGACACCATGGGGACAGCCAGGCAAGCCCACTGGAAAGCCAAGGCCTCGGGAGGCTGGAGCCCCTGGGGACCTGCCTGACACCACAGAAGAGTCACTACAGAAGAGTGAGAGAGTAAAAAGGGGTCTCGAGGGCCTACCTGGGCTCCATGTGACCCTACTCAGTCCTGGGCCTCCAGGTGACCAGCTCCCTAATGGGACACCCACAGTCCCAGGCCACAGAGGGCCAGGCTTCTGGGAGTCAGGTAACTGGCCAGGGCTGGGGGGAGCCCTGGGGTCCTGGTGCCAACCACACAACGCTGGCCCACCAACTTCAGAGAGGTTTGGCAAATGTCCCCCACAGACTGGTTGACACTAGGGAGATGAGAGGGCCAGGAGCAGGGCAGGAGGGACCAAGAGTCTTGGAAGTCTGTGTGGTCTGCCCAGGGCCATCACACCTCAGGGAAACTGAGGCCCGGGGAGGGCGAAACCTGGCTCAGACCCTTAGAATCTCGGGACAAGTGTCTGGAATAGCTCTTGGGCCCCGCCTCCCCAGCCAGGGGTATCCAGGTAGGTAGTAGGCAGGTGTGGCTCACCTGCTGGGCAGGTGGCCCACGACAGGGCCAGAGTGCTTTGGTAGGAGCTAAAGGCATTGGGACACCAACCAGGTTTTGAGAAAGGGAGACCGAGGCACGGCGAGCCCTGTCCCCTGGCCTAGGACACAGTGGCACCTCCAGATCCAACGGGGACCTCACGTTTTGCCCCCCAGGTCTATGACAGCAAGAAACCCAGGTCCTGGGTCCAGGCCACATCCCACCCTGGCCTCACCCTGCCCCAAAACCCCCAAGGAACAATTTACCTTTCAGAGCTGGTCCAAGATATTAATTAAGATAAATCTACCTCAATTTTGAGATTCTCTTATCATGTAATTTATCAAAATTATGTTAATTATTTCTGTAGGGCAGCAAAATTATTACCTCTTTTGTGTCTGATTCATATTAATATTCATAATTTAATAATTCAGCAGCCTGGCCATCTGGTCGGGCAGTCAGCTCTTTGCCTCCCTTAGTCCAAGCCAAAGCAACCCCACCACCCCCATCAGCATCCCCGGGCCCCAGCCTCCCTGTCCCCTGCGCCTTCCCACTGTGGCCCCGAGGACGCCGGCCCCTGTCTGGGTTCCTCCCTGGCCCCCGGGGCCCCCTCAGCCCTCCGCACAGACAGGTAGGCACCCGGGAACGCGCCCAGGTAACGCGCACCCGCTCCCCGCCCCGCTTGGCAGGTGAGCCGAGCTGAATTGACATTTCCACACTTTGTGAGTTTTACACTGTAATTTGACATAATTAATGCCTACATTACTGCTGATAATTTAGCTAGTTAATTAAACTCGGAGGAGATAATTAAGGAAAGGCTACTGCTTGGATTGCTAATTGTTTTTGTCATTATTTCAGGGGCCGACAGCTGCCGGCTGAGTCATCCTGTTTTGTCAGCTGATGGGTCATGTGACTCAGGGTCCCCCGAGGGCCCCCCACTTCCAGGGGAGGGAGACAGCGCAGCCTGCTACCTGGCTGCAGTCTGGAGCCTCGCCAAGCGCTGCTGGCTGATGGGGCCCTTCCGTTCCTACTTCTTGGAGCAGTGACAGTCCCGCTGGCTTCTGGGGACCCTCCCAGCCTTACCTGAGAGCTGTAGCCTGGGGTCATGCAAAGGAGGAGGGAACCCCTTGCAGATCCAGCATGCAAGCCCAAGGGGTCAAGGGGCAGCACCCAAGCCTTTTGCAAGTGGTCAGATAAGAAGTGGAACTTCTTGGGCCTGTTGGAAGCCAGAATCGATGATCCCACATAGGAAAAAATAATGGGAGAAAGACCAGAGAGGCATACACACACGTGTCCTCCCTGACTCTTCCCAGGTGATGCCCTGAACCGCCTCTGCTGAGAAGTCACACTCCCTGGACCTTGGACCTCCAAAACCGTGATCCAAAATAAACCTCTTTAAAAAAGGGTGGAGGATGAGCTGGGGTTGTGGCTCCGCGGTACAGCGCTCACCCAGCACGAGCGAGGCCCTGGGTTCGATCCTCGGCACTACATAAAAATAAATAAATAAAGGTATGTGTCCAGATACAACTAAAAAATAAATAGATAAATAATAAAGGGCACAGTGGTGCACGCCTGTGATCCCAGGGTCTGGGGAGGCTGAGGCAGGAGGATGGCGAGTTCAAAGCCAGCCTCAGCAACTTGCAAGGCCCTAAGCAGTTCAGCGAGACCCTGTCTCTAAATAAAATGTGAAAAAGGGCTGGGGGTGTGGCTCAGTGGTTAAGCGCCCCTGGGTTCAACCCCCAGGACCAAAAAAAAAAAAAAAAGTCGTGTGGGGGTGGATTCTGGGAGCAGGAGGGCTGAGAGTCTGTCCTTCTGGGGCATTTGATGTTGATGGGGGGCTACATTGGAGCCCTCAGAGTCCTGCTTCCCACCCAGGGAAGGACCCAAGACCGCTCTCTGCCCACCCACAGAGAGCCTGTCCCTGGGCCAGTGGCCCTCAGAGTTTCCTGCCCACGAAATAACCAGGAGCCGCACATCACCCTCACGGTGTCCCCCTTCCATGACGAGGAAGCCAGGGCCCTGCTGGAGGTCACATGACCCAATGCCAGCCCCTCAGAGGACCGAGGAGCTGGGGGCAGCTGAGCCGGCCTCATCCTGGATGGGATTGGGACACAACCCTGCTCGCAAGCCCTGGTGTCCCCTGCTTCAAGGAGTGGACAGGATGGTGCCCCTGCCACCCAAGGCAAGCTTAGATGATGAGGGCACCCAAGATGGTCTCACTGGTCCCCAAATCCCTGTGGGATTATCCGTCAGGCTGAGGGCCACATCTCCAAGGAGCTCACATCCTTGGGGAGTGGGGAGAAAGGACTACACGGTGCAGGTGAAATCTGTTAGGACTCTGACTCGACTGTCCAAATGCTCAAGTCAAAGAATCCTGGGTTTCTTTACCCTCTGTACCAGAAG